AATTTTACATCAAAATTATTTAATAGGCTAAATGAGTTGAGCGTTCTTACTCTTAACTGTTGTTTTTTACAAATATTTAAGATCCTATAAATTTATACTGTCGCGACAATTCATATTAAAAACCAATAAACGGTTTCTTGTTTATCATGCCCTCGAAAAGAATTCTGGATGAATCCCTCGCACCCTATTTTATATATCGTTTAAGTTTATTGCCAAGCATCCATAGAGGCTTTGCGCCATAACGTGATGGCAGCCATGACAGGAGGCATGACAATAGAGTCGTTTTCCCCTGGGAAACTGAATTCTTTCTAATGTAAATCAGATTAGACTAGACTCAATTGTTCCTGCCTCCTGTCATGGCTGCCATCACGTGAGGGTGCAAAGCCTCTATATGACAACTGCAAATCGAAGAAATATATACCGACGTGTAATCTATTGTTATAGGTTTCGATCGATATCGAGTCGGCTGTCGGTTTGGTGTATCTAAGAAAATCTATTTGAGCTAGAGTAAATTACGAGGAAATAATTTTAATGAAATAAGGACTGATGCTTGGAGCTTAGAGATCGGACGTCTTTTACTTTCCTGCTTATTATTTTAATTATAAAACTCCTATTTGTCGACTTCCCTTTGCCCGGCGTAATCAATAGAATGATTCGGAAATCCAATGATTGTATTCKATTGCATTCGGTAGTCAAACGACTTATCGAATTAAAAAAAGGTGAATTCGATTGTATTCGATTTTAATCGAACGTAATCGAATGTTCGATTGTGTTCGATTGGCCACAACTTTTTTTTTTAATTCGATTTCATTTGATTGCCGAATGCAGTCGAATCCAATCATTCGACTGGATTCGATTGGATTCGATGGAATCGATCGTTCGAATTCACGTTCGATTGATAGCGCCGGGACATAACGGTATCTAACTAAATAATTTTCTAATGAAATTCATTGACCTTTGAACATTTGTTTTAGCTACATTTGACAGACTATCATTCTAATAAGAGCCGTGCGTACTGACSGATCTATTACCAATCTTATAGCTAAAAAAAATCCAAAGTTTCTCCATCGTTTTGTCCCAGTTTTCAAACGACTTCAATTTGTAGATGAAGTAAAAATCTCATGGCTTCTCTCATACCTACGACACGCGCCGCTTTCTTTACGCGCTCTGTGTGGCTTGGCTTTTCTTTCGCGTTCTTCTTCTCGTTGGAGTTGGTTCTTCGTGGTTGCTTCAAGGATTTTGGCTTAAGCCAAACCTTGTGCATCTGCCCAACTTTCAGGCCAGGTCTAGCTCGCAGGATCATGGTCCCAGCATTGTGCTCAACTTTAAASAGCGAACGATTAGCTTTCTCTATCATATAYTCCATCGTACCATTAAGCGATCTCAACACAGGCACGAGCTTGAGGATTATGTCACCCGATGTCATGTTGTATTTGAGCCCTATTCTTTTGATTCGGTGCAGCGAACGTTTTCGACGTCCTCCGGCAGTCGTGTACGTGGATTGAGAGGACGAGTAACGGTACGAGTAGCCACTAGGACCCTGAGGGTAGGTTCGACCATAGGGTTGTTGATAAGGTTGTTGATAGGGTTGTCTATAGGGTTGTCTATAGGGTTGTCGGTATTGTTGTTGTGGTTGTCGCGGTTGTTGGTTATAGTACTGGTTCTGTAGCGGTCGCTGCTGCTGCTGCTGCTGCTGCTGGAATCCACCATATTGACCTAAAGATTCACAAAAGATCCAGTTTAATCTTCATCAAATGTTTGCCGCTACTGTTAAAACTTTGAAATCTGGGCCAAGTATAGTTAAAAGGTATAGGACATATTTCGTGCGGCTGCGTAAAACAAATTTATTGTAGGGCAAATGAGACATTGACTGTGCGCGGAGTTCGAATGAGTAGGGAAAATACAACAAATTCGTAGCCGCATGGCCCGTTCTTTATTTTCCCATAAATGCCTTAAATCGTTGTGGTTAAATGATTCGTATGGAAACGTTGGAAAGTCATTCCTTGGATACGACATGTTGGAGAAGGCGCACTACACGCATGCACGTGGTATACGCCRTACCGTGCGTTTCCCGCGCAACTMAAAAACAAGACCGYACTAGCTTTGCGCGCTAAGYCTAACTCACCATAAATTTCCTTAAATTCCATACAGTAACCGTGCCGTTATTCACAATATCAATGCGAAATGTGCTCCAAACATACCTGTTTGCTGCTGTCGATAAGGGTGTTGGTACTGGTTCTGAGGTCGATAAGGAGGCTGATTTATGTTCCGTCTTGCCTGGTCTGCAAACAACCTCTGTCTACTGTAGCTATCAGCAGCCGGGGGCGGCGTGGAAGGAGCTTGTGTCGCGTCGGTGCTCTCTACCAGAGGAACACCTCCGGTAGGAATTGTCTCGCCCTTTGCCAGTGCGCATTCATAGCATGCCTCTCCGTATGGTGATAAACAGTGTCTATGAACCAAAAATATGATTAATTCCAAAACAGACAGACTGTAGGGTTCTCATTAATTTTTGAAATAATAGGAGAAGTTCATGAACTGCTGGAGAATCCTTGGGACCAAGTGAACATTTGGCTAATTACTAAGCTATTGATAGTAGTTTAAGCCTGAGAATTTCGGAGTTTATGGGAGCATTCTCCGATCCCCTTCGATCCTCCAATCCTTAATGAAACTCTAGACCAAGGGTTTGAACTAAAAATCACCGAGACGCTAAACGACAAATTAAATATGGAATACTATTTTTATTAACTTCTACAATAAAATACAAATAAAGGATTTGAGATATCACAAAGCAAGTTCACCCATTAGTCCACATAGTGYCAATCTTACGAGAGGAAAAAAGCAGACTTACCCTCCACCGATGGGGTAGAAGTTTTGCGGGCACGAGCAGCTGAATCCACCTCTTTTGTTGTTACAGCCGTAGCTACAAGGATTCTGACCCGTTAAGCACTCATTTACGTCTGGTGATAAAACAATACTTTATTTGGAGTTAATGAGATTGGCTGTCAATAAAACCTTGTCATATTGCTGGGTTTCAATGGACCACTTCGATGTTACGGCGGCCATCGTGGATTGCAAGGCATCATGGGATATCCAGGGGTAAATAAAGCTTTGTTACAGTAATGACGTCGATTGATATTAACGGCTCACCACAAGAGAATACAACAAAAGATGAATTAAGACGCCACATCGATCACCTTTACCCATAAAAGACAAACTCGAAACTCTAAATATTTTTCGTCATCTTTGTTTTGTTTTGCCCACTGGCAAGATGGCCGCCGTATAGTTGAAGTAGTCCATTGACGTATTTCCTGTCTTGAGTGGAAAGTTCAATGGCTCCCTCTTGGGGAACTTGATAAGTGTATGCATGTAAGCATGGTCGTACCTTGACATGCTTGTCCACCTTGACCCAACACATAGCCTTGATTACAGCCACAGTAGAAGCTACCCAGAGTGTTGATACAACGAGCTGCCCCACAGCGTCCATAGCTACTGCACTCATTCTGATCTGTTGGACAGAACAATAAACAACATCGCAGCTTGATAAGAAATAGGCTAAGCAAAGATCAGTTACTCAGGGAATGAATCTCTGACGGTGAAACTCTTATTTCGTAAAACTTGTTCGAAAATATTATCAAACCTCGTGAATCGTAGCTGAAGGCACTTTTCAGTGCAAACCTAATTGAATAAGTCTTTTATAAAGGTCAACTGAATATTATCAATCTACTGCCATCGGTTTTCATGTTGCATTATAGTCTAGCTAGACCACGATGCATCCTGTTTATCAAACTCAGAAATGATAGCCGGATAAGGTCAGATAAGGTCCGTATGACAGGGCAGAAAAACGACAAGCCCGCTACTTTCACGATTTTTWAATTTAACTGAGTTTAATACTCCAAATTTTTTAGCATTTCTTTTGTGTCACTGCTGCTCGAAACTTGTGACGAAATTTTGTCGAATTAGATTAAAGGCTACTTATTAGTATTCACGAAAATGTCAGTTTTTTTGCTGATCAAAATATCACCTAGCCCAAAGTACACGGCTTTATATGTCAAATACGCATTCAATAAATTTTTGTCGCATTTGATATTTTGCTATTTGGCTCCAAAAGAACGTGTTTACAAAGTATTGAGTTTAAATACGTAAAGCTGTCCTTATGGCGAAAGGCCAAAAACCGTTTTTCTGCCCTGTCGATCCGTATACTTAGGATATCCCCTTTCTCTCACTTACCAACGCATTGATTCCAGTATGCGTCCTGAACAAACCCAACCTGACAGCTGCATCTGAAGCTTCCGACCAGATTGATGCAGCCAGACTGACAGTACTGAGGCTGTTGGGTTTTGCACTCGTCCTTGTCTGAAATAATTGCAGATMAAGAGATCAGAAGGAACCAATTGTTACTAAAATTGAGCATTCTTTAATTTTTTGACGTCACTCATGCAACTGAGGTAAAGATATGGTTATGGTTATGTAACCTTTATTTAAACAGGTTGGCCTATTCAGCTAAAAGCTGGTATYCAGAGTGACCATCGATATTGGCCATTAAAATAAATTCAAAGTTGCGAAACAAAAAAATTTTCCACCTGCAAAATAAGAATGTTCAATAATTTTGGAAGAAAAAAATCGTGAAAAATCTTTGGAAAACTCCTGGGATTTTGGACTCGGAAGACACTTTTCAAACCAATTAAGCCTTATTCTACACTTGATCGAAAATGACGTTTAGATATTATTGTTGCGTAGTAAAAGCAATTGGGCCAAATATTTGATGTACACTTACCAGTGCACGTCATTGTCTTGGGGTCGAATGTAAAGCCYTCGTTACATGTACAGCGGTAACTACCAGGAGTGTTCACACATTTTCCTTGTCCACAGAGGTTCGGGGTCATCATGCACTCGTCCTTGTCTGAAAGAAATCAAGAAACATCATCACATTGGTGGTCTGCGTTCATGATCATTACCTGAAGAATCAATGCGTCTCAAATTGGAAGGTAGGTACTTTATATATGAATTCTGTYGGTTAAGAGAAGCATGTTTATGTAGTTATTTATTTGAAGATTTGCCAAAGRTAGGTAATTTACAAAAGAACACTAAATCCCCTACGGGGTAAATCACCCTCATCATATAGAGTTGTTAGTTAGTTTTCTCCTGTGTTTCGAGGGGTTTTTYCTATGGTTTCTAMGGTTKTCCTCCCTTCGCAAAAAATCAAATTCTATTTTTCCATCGGAGTTCAGTGGAAGAAGAACCACTTTGAGGAAACACAACAGCTAAATTCTCTTTCCTTTTAGCATTTATCTTACTCACAACTTTTTTCTGGGGAGATCTCATAAATTTCTTTTTCTAAGTTCAGTGGCTCACACTCATTCATATTCAAGACATTCCTAACGGCCTCGTCCCGCGAGAAACAAGATTAGTACACTAACACTCGAAATACTGATCGTTTATTGGTTAACTCACCCACACACGTGACTCCATTCTTCATGTAGCCAACAGGACAGTCACATCTATAGCTTCCTCGTGTGTTGATGCAACGATACTGACAGTTATGAGTGCCTGCTACGCACTCATCAATGTCTGTTAAAAGAGATACTACATTAAGTCTCTAATGAATGCAAATACGTGAACAAGAAATTAAGTGACGTCATCGCTTGTAGTCATGGTAACTCCCTGTTTTCTAATAGTCGTTGTTATGGTAACATTAYCTTCATATGTTTTCTTATCAATCGATGTCTTTCTTACCCATCGTTGTCATATTGTAACTTTATCTTTGCGAAATGTTTTCTTAAGATGGTAGTCATGGTACCATTACCTTCACATGTTTTGTTATAATGGTAGTCATGGTACCATTACCTTCACATGTTTTGTTATAATGGTAGTCATGG